TAATACTGTTACCTAATAGGGCTTTTATTTGAATAAAAACTTTAACTAATAGGATCTTGCCATATGTTCCAATCCATGGAAGAAACCATGTTCTAATTCACCCAGATTTGATTTTACAGCTACATTTGTATCTGAAATTTCTTTGTTTTCTAAAAAAAATATTGAATTGTTAGTTGTACAGGAACTGATTTACTTTTTTCTTCTTAGAGCGAAGTAAGGTAAATGTCTATTAGATTGTATGCGGAGTACCTTAGATCGCTTTTCAAATTTCATTGGGAAACAGTAATATTAAATGTCTATTAGATTGTAAGAATGAAAAATTGACAACATAAACTTTTGATCAGAACTGACTATTCTTTCAGCATGAAAATTCTGGAGACTTAAATTTTCCAAAAGATGCGTACCGTTGTTTATGGGAAGAAGCAAAATATGGCAGTTAGTATGTCCACGGATGTTTGATGGTTTTGGAATATTTGAGGCCTGCTTATTGATTGTCAGCGAAATTGTTCGGACCACTGAATATTGGATGCTGGCTAAAGAGTAGTGGTGCAATGTTTGTTCTTACCTTTTTCAGGGATCATAAAATTTGAATTTCCCTGTTGGAAATTGTTCCATCTTGCCTGGTTGCAAATGTACATTTAATGCTAAATATATTATGCTGTCTGATTTTCAGAATTTTCTGTCATCCTGACATATAGATAACGATTTTCGAATGGTTTTGAGATAGGTTTTTTGGCTTTATACTCAATATTTGGCTTGTTTTGCAGGTATCGTGTACAAAGTGATAGAAAGGTTGCTGTTTGTAGTGTGCATCCATCAGAACAAGCCACATTGCAGTGCCTTGGTTGTCTTAAAGCTAAGATACCTGTTTCCAAAAGCTACCATTGCTCACCTAAGTGTTTTTCAGATGCATGGCAGCATCATCGTGTCCTACATGACCGTGCTGCAAGTGCTATCAATGAAAATGGAAATGAAGAAGAGGAGTTGTTTGGACGCTATAATAGCTCAGGATCTGGGGTTATCAACACCAGCTTATCTGCTTCTACGTCAACCACTAACTTGAATAATGGTTCAGCACCACTATACCCGGCTGCAGTTGCGCAGAGGAGTGGTAATGAAGCATTTCTTGAGGTTGGGCGCTCTAAAACATATACGCCGACGGCTGATGATGTTGGTCATGTTCTTAAGTTCGAGTGTGTTGTAGTTGATGCAGAAACTAAAGTTTCTGTTGGACATCCCAACACTATATTGACTTCCCGTGTTATTCCGGCTCCTTCTCCAAGCCCTCGTAGGTTGATCCCGGTCAATGGAGTCGATGTGTTGGGGCATCTAGATTCAGAAGCCCGTCTATCAGCTACAGGAACATTTACTGTGCTTTCATATAACATTTTATCTGATGCTTACGCCACAAATGAATTATACAGTTACTGCCCTTCATGGGCTCTCTCTTGGCCATACCGCAGACAGAATTTGCTGAGGGAAATTGTTGGCTACCGTGCAGACATTGTTTGCCTCCAAGAGGTATGCTATAAAAATTTCTAATTATTGAACTGTTTGATTAGTTGTTGCAATTGTTGACATGTGTTCTAGGTGAAATTTTCCTCACCTACTCTTTTCCTCGTCCCCCCTTTTAGGGAGACATTTTCCTCAAACAAATTGGGGATCCCAAAATGGGATAGATTTTCCTCAATTTTTTCTAGGATGAGGATGGGGATGAGGATGGGCAAATGCGAAATTGTACCTGTTCTTGTCATAGGGTAGGGGACCAGGGGTTGGGAGCATTGCCCCCTCACTGTGTCCACAATGATTATATAAAATGTATCAATTACCTCTCAATGTTTCTGAAGTA